GGGCAACAACTATCTTTAACTATATAGGTCACACCAGCTTACAGGGGCAACAACTATCTTTAACTATATAGGTCACACCAGCTTACAGGGGCAACAACTATCTTTAATTATACAAGTTACATCAGCTTACAGGGGCAACAACTATCTTTAACTATACAAGTTACACCAGCTTACAGGGGCAACAACTATTTTAACTGTATAAGTCACAGAAGCAAAAATCATCTTAACTGTGTAAGTCTCATCAGCTCACAGAACCAAAAACTATCTTAACTGTATATGTCACATCAGCTTTATGGATATGAGAAATATTCCATATTCCACAGAGCCACTTAAATAAGACAACTTCATGGAATATATAAATCAGGTATATTTCAACAATTTCTACTGAGTCATTGTGTGTCAATGTTTGGGTGATAAGATTATGAGTCATTTTTAATTTAAGTTGCACCATTTTTATTGATTTTATGAGAGCATACTTAAAAATTGTTTTTATTTTTTCAGTGTGTAATTTTATTTCTTTTATGTTGAAGGAGGAGGTTTGGTGAACAAAGTTCACTGAAAGTGAAGGGGAGGGGGGCTCAGATTTTTTTAACCAACATGTCAATTTTTGACGGGTCAGATAAAGCTAGTATGCACATATTTTAAGACTGATTTGAAATATTAAGCTTTTTATTTTCCATGTAAGGGTTAACTTAATGGCAGCAGCATGGAAAATTAAAAGCTTAATATCCCAAACCATTCCTTAAATATATACATATATATCACTTTGACCAAATCTTGATAATTAATCAGTAATTGTATTTAAAAAATTTTCCATAGCTGGTACTTGCATGAAAATCAAGAGCTTATTGATAGTTCATTATTAGTATTTCATTAAATATTTGTAATCATGTTAAGGAAAAATAGATAATAACAGATTTTATGTGATTTCAAAAATATATGTCTGAGATATTATGCATAACTGTTTGAGACATTAAATACACATGTTAGATTGTAGGTAAATGAAATAAACTTGCATGCTTTTAACCATTAGTATAAGATTTTAATATTAACTTCCAAAATACAAAGTTAAAAATCAACTTGCCATCATAGTTATGAATAATGATGAGTTTTATTGAAGGTTAGAGAAGTTTGCATTCATTTTATGCTATACAATTTAAAGTTAGAGGAAATTAGATATTTTCATAATATTTGATTATCACATCTTCTTCTATTCAGTTTATCAGAACTTGTAATAGTAATGTTTTTTTTTATCTTGTCCTGTAGGTGTTCGTAGAGTACACAGATGCAGATGATGCTTCAAAACCTTTTATGGAGAGTCGTTTCTATAAAGTTTTAGATCGCTATGAGCATACAATATGCATTCATGTTGCTCTACCAAGAGTTGATAAAGGTAACGTAATAGTAACTCTTGTAGTTTCTGCCCTTTTCCTATTGCTAACTATTGTCTTCTGAAAACAGATTTTTTTTTTCTTTGGAAAAAAAGAGATTTTATAAATGTCTCCAAGTCTGTTTTTGTTTGAAATAATCAGTATTAGATGGAGAAAAAAACATATATGTCAAATTAAAACCATTTAGTAGTCCCTGGGCATGGGTTAGTTCTGTGATAGATCTCTGGACTTTATAGCTGACAAACTAGGTTAAAGTTCATGTGACATCACAAGATCTTCTACATGCTTTTAGCTGTGGTGTTATAAAAGTGACAGTCCTTTATTGTGAAAGGTAGGGTGGTGCTGACTAGTTGCTCTCTCTCAAGTCAGTAGTTCAGACTTATGGAGAGTGGGAACAACTTTTAATAGCAGTGTCGCCATAAATATATTGGTACCTGTTGTATTTGATATTTGTCCAATTGCTGTTTAGAGAGATGATAAAGGTTTTTTGGCAAAGGTGATTATATAATATTGTTCAGTATGAATGATCTTAATAGTGCTTTTTTTCTTGTAGTTGTGTAGTAATGAAAAATAAGCCCACTTGTTATACCTAATGCATTGTCCACATATTTAATAACATATCCCAGTGGTTTTATCAAAAATACATTCGAATTATTTAAAGGTAGTTCCATATAAAAATAAACATTCAAAACATTGAAGATAATTACTTTATCTTCTAGAGAAAAATTTAAAGGTTTATGAAGACTTAATTTTTATTCTGTCATCCCTTCATTGTCAAATCTGGAGGCTAAGGGATTTCTTAGGGGTCTCAGTATGGTTCAGGGGGGCTATATCACATTTATGAATATTTTTTCCCAAAAATTGTTTTCATTGTATTCTCTTTGAAATTAAAGTTTGCAAAGAAAGTAAGATACTCCATTTTTATGAACTCATTGAGTCAAATTCTCAGCCAGGATGCCTAATGTCTTGAGCAAAGAAAGTTTAGGAACCCATGTTTTATATAACATATTTTTAACAAAATATCATGAAACTTTCACACGCTATTGACAAAATTCCTAGATTTAATTATCCAGTAAAACAGTCAGTGAGCTTGCTTAATTGAAAAGAAAAATATTTTATGGAACATATTTAAAAATGCTTCCATATCATGCTAGAAATCCTGTAATTCTACATGTGTTGGTTACATTATACCATGATATTGTTTTATCATGAGTCTTGGAGTCTAATTTCTGTATTATTTATTTGAAAATCTACAGATTAATAGATTGATGTGTGTGAAATATGAAGTTCACTAAATATATGGGAATACTGCAGCCACCAAAATTATGCAGTATCAGTTGAAGTCATATTAATAAAGTTTAAGGAAGGGGAGGGGTGTCCAAAAGTTATATGTGTGTGAAACTGTTTTTTGTCTGAAGATAACAGTAGTTCTAATTTACTGTTTTGTGACTCACTTGTGTATAAGAACTTTTTTTTTCTGTAATTTCTTGTTTCTATCCAATTGAGTTGAAGTTATATTATTATTAAAGATTTGTAACAAGTGCAAATGCAGCATTGAAAACTTGTATGTAGTTCAGAATAAGTTGTCAATTTATGTTGCTTATCATGAACACAATTTTAATAGTGTGTTGTCAGTGTAAAGAGAGAGACTTACTGGTGGGTGTAGAATTAGACCAGGGTACTGGTGTGTCTAAGAAAGCAAATCAATAAATATAAATGAACCTACTAAGAAACATTTCTGAATATCTTTATAAATAATATGCTTGTGTTTGTTTGTCCAGAAATTTTCTCACAAATTACTTGATCAAGCACTACAACTCTCATATGGTTAGATAGGTCTTTGTCAAAGGAGTCCAGATTGGCTTTTCAATTCAGAATCACCTTATGTGTTTTTTGCTTAGTCAGACTTTTTGATTTATAGAGCATGGGACATGATGGCACAGTTGCTGTCATCACTTGACGACTGGCTTCTATTTCAACCTTAGTTTTTTTATTTACAAAATATTTTACACAAACAATACTTAACCCACGTATATTTTCTTTAAAAGAAATGAACATTGGACTAAATAAAAAAAATTTGGGGCTTTCTTGACTTATTTAGGTCTAAAATATGCACATGCATTTCAATCAAAATGATATGCTTGTCACTTTTTGGACACACATTCAGACAATTTTGCATATTCAGCTAAGTTTGCCTTTATTGCAACTTTGCATTTACTTTGGAATAATTTAGCTTCTGTTCATTTCATAAAGCACTATAAACACCTTTTAGCTACTTTTTTCTTTACTATGGGTTTTGTTCATGCATGTAGTTTTATTAATTAATGTTCATGCATGTAGTTTTATTAATTAATGTTACATACATGTAGTTTTATTAATTAATGTTACATACATGTAGTTTTATTAATTAATGTTCACGCATGTAGTTTTATTAATTAATGTTCACGCATGTAGTTTTATTAATTAATGTTACATGCATCTAGTTTTATTAAATAAAGTTATTTCTATGTGACTTTGTTTCACCGAGTAAAATTTTTTCAAATAGACCAGGTTTTATCAATCTAACACATAATGCTTACAAGAAAGTGTAGCTTAACTGGCATATGTAAAAATGATAGAATAAGGAAAATTCAAGCGAAGGGCATAAGAACTACCAGAAATGTTTTGTGGGTTGTGGCTAGTTCTAACTAAATTATTGAGAATACATATAAAGAATAAAAAGAAGGCAAAGAACTAAATGAACATGTGAAGAAAAATTATTCTATTTAGGAAAGTTGTATGGCTTTACTACTAATATGCATGATGTATCCTTATCAAAAGCCAAGCTATAGCACTTGGATCACCCTGAAATCTTCATACAGATTATCTTTGTCTACCTGTATGTATTTTTGTGATGGAAAAACAAACCCATATTATGAGTGATACTGCTTTGTTTAAAAAGTTTTTAAAACATACCAACGGATTGAGTGTACCTGAAATATCTTTTTTTTTTAATTATGCTTTCAGATGTTTTAGAGAAATTGGGAATACCTGCAAACAGTGATCAAGGACTGCAGAGTGGTAGAGAAGATCCTCGCTATGATGATAGTGGCACTGGTAAAAGTGTTTAGCACATTTGAGTTTGACTAGGAAAGTTTATGTAGTATTTGAAATATGAATATCTGCAAACCTGTTTTGTATTATTTTTTATGTATAATATATATCAGTGTTTGAAGTATGATTGTTTTATTGTCATATTAGCAAGGAAGGAAAAGAAGAAAAAAAAAGCTTTATCATTATCTTCCAATAACTGTGGAATTTGTTTCTGTTGATTGATCTTCATCATCAGAAAACATTACTGCTAGGTGTTTATACATCATTTTTAAGTTGAATTTGTACAGGTCCTTAAATTCTTGAAAAGTTTGGGAATTTTATTTTATATTTTGAAGAACCTTGAAAAGTCTTTAGATTTTGAAAAATCTTTTAAAGTATAGTTTTTATTTTTAAATTTTTCCAAAAAATTAAGATGAAAAAAATTATTCCATATCTAGATCTGTGTTGGTGGATGAAAAAGTCCAATTTTTGTAGTCACAATATTTCAGGCTACCATAACAAGATTTTATTTTACTTCCTGTAATGCTATGAAAATTTGTCTTCATTTCTTATTCTGCTGATTACCTGGTTTATTAGTATATATTTATCTGGCTTCAGTTCTTAAGAAAGACATAAGTACTATTCTGCTAATATTAAAGTTTAGGGTGGTTTTGTTAGATTTTAGTTAGGATTGTACACTTAGATTTTATTACTGTAGATACAGCCAAGCCTGAAGTTATGACTAGATCATTAGGTTTAACCTGATGGTGTTTTTAGCTATTAGTATTAGGTTATAGAGTACTAAAGTTTTTAAATATTAGCTTAAAGTAAAGAATAATCACATATGTTAGTTAAGTAAAAAGGAGCTTTTAGTTATCTTAGAGTTAAAATTATTGTTCCCAATACTTGGTAACTGCTTAGAACTTAATGTATTCATAAATTTAAATTAGAAATTAATTGTGTTACTAGAGACTTAGTGTACATTGTAGTTGTAGTAGAAGCAATGAATTGTATCAATATTAGTTAAAAGGGGATTTGAGTGTTACATTAACCTACAAAGTATAAAATAGTTTAATTTTAGCTAAATGTACAATTATTGGAACATGAGATTAAAGACTAATAGCTTCAATATGGTTAGAAGTAGTTCAGGAATAAAGTGGGATGACTTTATATGGTGTGATAGGTACAAAGAATGAATTAAGTTTCAGATTTATGGGCTTAATTGTAACATTCACAAGGTTCAGAAAGGTACAGTACACTACACTTTCAGAACTTAAGGATAAGCTACAGATAGTTTCTGGGGAGTAGGGTGGGGAATAGCAGATTTGGGAGCAAAACAGGAAATGATGAATGTTACGGGAAATATTATTTTTGGGGGGATAAGAGTGCTTGGTTTAAAAAGGTGCATAGTAGTAAAAAGTTAAGGTCATAGAGACAGATTCAGTTAATATTCAGGTTTATGTAATAGATTTTAAAATTTTACTGCTTGCAGTGAGAACAGATGAAACAATTTACTGTCAACATCACTGTCACACATTATACTCTTATCCCCAGATTTCTTCGGTATACCTTTCTTGGCCTGCTGGAGTTCAGAAGACAGCCCATGCTTCTCAGTACTGTTCTTCTGAATATTAGGTGATCTCTCATTTGCTCATATACTTCTCCCTTTTCTATCTGTGCAAATGCTGCACTTCAGTCTCTTATCAACTCCTTCACTTACCAGGAAAATGTTTTCTTCCAAGACTGAATTGTCTTTTCAGAAACAGTAGTTCCAGAGTTTTTCTGTGCTGTTTAATCGCAAAGTTCAGGGCAAGAAATGATGAGATCATCTATGATTTTGCTAGCGATCTTTGCACTGTCTTCAGTTTTATCATCTCAAGTGAAATATTTGTACAGTGAGCTCGTATTTGTCACGTAATTCTTCTTAAATTGTCCTGGTCGCACACCGAACTGTTGATTAGATGACATTTTTGTCATCCGTGTATTGTGAGTGCTTGATAAAGTCAATAAAATATGAATAAGCTTTTGCTGACTTGGATTGCAGGAGACTGACTGGTTCCTCTAAAATTAAAGTGTGAGTCATATTTACCTGGATAGCGAGAAACCAGTTGCACGTGCTTGATTAGTTTACTTAAATTTATGCCAGATAAAGACAGTGGATCCATACTGGCTGATTTTCAAATTATTTTTGTATGTCTAGATCTGATTTTTGATACTTTTTTGAGGAAAATTATGCATGAATATACAGTACGTGTCCTTATCTAGAGCTCTGGGTACATAATCTGGCCATCTAAAAGAATCTTTGAAGCTATGTTGAAGTTCATTAAGGGATACCTTTTGTTTTCTAGATTTATATTTAATTTCAACAAAAACTTTCTTATAAGTATGGCTAGATATTAGCTCTTTATTTGCGTGTTTAGTTCTTTAAAAAGAAAATTGGTATATGATTATAAATCTGAAAACTTGTGAGGAAATTAAGCCAAGTGAGTGTTTGTGATATAATAAATTACTTTGCTATATTTGTATTACCAGACTATGTATGCATTGACTTAAAAATAAAGACAACTGTAGGAAATCTAAGTATAATTATGAAAGAAATAACCCATTATAAAATTACCCACACGTGAAGTATTTAATGACTATTAATCTAATTTACTCTGTTAAAAGACCCTCCATGAGTTTGCAGTTAGTTTATAGTCTTACATTGCTAAAATCCAAGCCTCAATTCCCCACAGTGGACAGAGTACAGAAAGCTCATTGTGTAGCTTTGCACTAAAACAATGTTAAAATGCTTTTATTCTCTAAATAAATGATGATATCACATTTGTGGGACATGATTCCACTGTATTGCCAAGGACATTATGCACAGATTCATGTCTACCACAGCTCTAGAACAGCTTAACATAGCAACAAATTTAGCAAAGTTTAACATTAATGAAGAAAGCAGTCACTGACAGTGCTATGTTAGATTTGTAGCAGTAAATATCATAATATTAAAAAACCCTTAAAATTAGAGAAATTACTATTCTCTAATGACCTTGTTTGTATACTGGACTGTATGGCTTCAAGACAAATGCTTAACTCTAATGCCAGTCACAAAAGTGTTTGAAAGTTCTTAGCAAAAACAATCATGTGAAAGATGCTGATTCTGATGAGATTGTGAAGTGGTTCACATTGCTCAAGGAGGAAATTGTAACAAAGCACTACTTGACATACTCATCAGTAGATGAGAGAGAAAAATCACCACAATTGTATACAGAAAATCCACCCACACGAACAGATACACTTCAAGTCCTATCATCCAACCTCGATAAAACGTGGTATAATCCAATGCCTAAAGAAGAGAGCAGAAAACATTTGTGATGAGACATCCATCGAAACAAAATGCCAAAAGATCATAGAGGGTATTAAACAGAATGGTTACACCTCCTCCTTCATCAAAAATTCCCTGAAGAGGACCACAACAGAAAGAAAAGATCAGAAAAACACTATCACTACTACCATTTACCCCCCTACCTGCAAAACTTCAGTAAAAAACTCAAACGTGTAGCCAAGAAATTCAACATAGAAGTCCGGTGGAAATCCTACAAGACATTAAGGTCCATTCTGGTAAAAAAACAAGCAGCAACCTACCATTGCAGAACATACCATGTCAACTGGACCCAAAATAAACTGGGAAAAAACTAGAATCATTGACACAGACAAATTTTGGAAGACAAGAAAAATTAAAGAATCATTTTATATTAACACAATTAAACCTGCACTAAACAGAGATTCCAGATAAGAGGTGAGTAACCTGTGGCTACCATTGGTTGAATGTACAGAAAATCTCTCCTCCAATCAGAAACAGGGATAAACCAACCAATCATAACATGCTCTTCACAATCCGCCAGAATACTATAGACCGACAACACCTTACACACACTGACCTGAAGACGAAAGGTGGAAGACTTTCGATATGTCGTCTTCTACAACGGGCAGTTGCCGTACATTCTAGAAAGTTTCATCAAGGCACACTCACATCTTTACATCATATCATCACCTAAAAGACCATGTGAACACTTCTCCACACTCATCTCTTTGGAAAGTCCCAGTTCATTGTTTTATACAATTTAATAAAATGTACTGGTGCTTTCACACAGACTGATTACAGGATAAGAGATTTTTCAGTGAATATAGAGGGTGTAGTTGAAAACCTTAGAGAAAGGTCTGTTGTTGTACAGAGAATCATTATTGATCAGGTTCGAGAGGTCAGAGTATTTCTAAACGTGAAATGTCCAAGGAATTGCTGTTTTCTGAATCCTTTGCATTCTGTGGTTATATCGTTAATGTTTGTTTCTGTCATGTTTTTCTTTTGGGCCATAAATGAGGTCTTGAAATTATTTTTGGGTTGAGAAAAAGACTAGAAAAATAATTCAGTCACCATCAGGTGGAGGAAAGAGTTAGAAACTTGATAAAACTATTATTAGGTAGAATTGCAAGTAAAAAAACATAATAATAATAAAGTTTGATTGAAAGCTTGTTAAAAAAGTTGGTTATTATTTGAATTTTTTGTTCTGATGCTTTGATGTTTAATATCTTAATAACTTGTAAAAAGCTTTTCTGTTATCATCATGATGACCTGCAGGTTATTTTTTGCTCCATGTATAACTGCTGGATTAGAGACTTAAGAAGAGTGGTGTAAATTGGTTTTCTGACTTGCACTGCAGTCACTTTGCTATGCAGAAAATCTTAATATGTCGGATGTTAATATGAAGTACAACTAAAGGTATATTTAATAGTAATTAGACTTTTTTTTCTGTGACTTTTTGACATAATGCTCATTCTGGCTTTTGTATACAAAAAGAATTTGGATGGCTTCTCCACAACAGTATATATCGATGAAGGTGTCCTGATGATAAAAATTCTAATTTTAAACATTCTGTTAGTCAAAACATGTAAATTTGGTTATTAGATTAGTAGCAAATACAAAAACATAGATATATCAGTCTAAGTATTTAACCTATTCAAGCCTGATGCATGATTTTGGCCACATTTGCATTCAAACAAATTAATAATTCAAAAATGAAACTATCTGATACTGAGATACTTCAAATATACACTATGATAACTGTTGAACATTTTCCAACCTAAGTTAAACATTTCTGGTAAACTTACAACTTCTAAATGAAATAAAAATCACTGCATTGTATAATTGTATACTATGCTGTTATGCAACACTTCTATCCTGATTTAATACATGCCTATTCACAATAATACAGTTACAGGCCTTATGATGCCAGGTGCTGGTCCACATTCTCGAAATACATTTTGCAATGAAATATTTTGTTACCTTATCCCAAAAAAAACTTTTTCTAAAACTTATCTTGGTTATAGTTATATTTTGTAGGTGATTCAGAAATAGATATGAGACAGAATTCTTAAAATCTTAATAATCTCCTTTGCCTTTATAAAAAACATGAGATACTGTGCTGGAAAGGGTTACAAGGCTTGAAAGAGAATTTTATTGTAATATTTAATATCTTAGCTTTATGAAATAGTGCCTGTCCAGTGGCTCAGTGGTAAGCTTGAGGCCTTATAATGCTGAAATTCAAGGTTTAATCCCTGAGCTTGGCATAAACAAATGTGAAACAATAATGATAATGAATGAAAAAGCAAAGTGTGGAAACTATTGAAACTATAAAAAATGTTTTGTAACTGTTATATGATAGTTTCTTTTCTAAGATGTCTTTCCTTCATATTTATAGAAGATGTAGAAGCTGAAGGTTCAACCATACAAAGCCTTCCTAAAAATCGGCAAGTTAATAGAGCAGTTGATGAAAACTTGCAGTATGATGATAGTGAACTATGTGATTCAACATCTAGTGGTTATCATGGTGGTCAGGGAGTCCATAGTGATCATTCTGAGGACAGTAGTCTAACAGACAGTGAACGAACACTTGTAGGTGATGAACTCTCACCAAGAAATAACTCTCCAGACTTGACAGGAGTTGACATGGATAGTGATCCTGATCCTTCACAGAAAGTTGGAGAACTTTTAGCTGGAGCCAGTGGGTCTCTGACAACCACAGGTACCAAACCTGAGTCTGAAAGCTTACAGAATAGTAGTGTAAGTAGTTCACCACGTAGTGAGCCATGTGAAGATGAGAGAAATCTTTCTTCACCAGAAGAAAATACTGCACAATCTCCTAAGCCTTCTAAAAAAGTTCAGGGCGATTGGGGATCTAAGAATGATGAAGAAGATCAGGAGGAGGAGGAAACAGGAATTCAACCAAAGGATGTAGGAAGCTGCTACTTCCGTGCATGGCCTTATACAGATCCTGAAACATGTGAGAAAAGTAAGTCACATTTTCTGTATTTAACTTACTCTGAGAAATATTCAGTAGGAATACAAACTTACAGTTTTTAGAATCTATTTTCCCCCCCTCCCTTAGCATTTTTATGTTTGATTTGATAGTCATCCTAAATTTGTACCACAACATCAGGTCATTGTCATGTTTTCTTACAATAAGGTGAAGTTAATTTTAATTATATCAACTAGTTGAAAATGTATTGAGATCAAATTTCTTTGATAACTGACTTAAAAAAGAACAAAAGGACAAAGTAAAAATTATTTATCTTCATTTCTCTTCTTGTAGCACACAGCCATTTGCTAAAGCTGCTATAGTCTCTGTTTAAATATGTGTATACAATGAACATTCAATCAAATCTAAGAGAATCTGTAACCATATATAGGATGTTGATACAATGTCCTTCATATTATAACAAACTATTAGTTCATGTTGATGTATTTTACTACATTTATTTTAAGTTATTGCAGCTATCAAAGAACAGTGTGTTTTTTTAGAAAATAAATATGTATTTTAAATTTTCATTGTCAAACATGTGAAATAGATTTGGACTAGTAATAATAAGAATTTTTAACATTGCATAATGAACAAAGTAACTTCAGTTAGAACATGATTAAACTTAATTGTCAAATAACGTTCACTTTATATGATCTTAAAAGATGTAAATATTTCTTAAAAATGTGAATTTTAGTGATGTTATAATTTGCATTTCCTAATTTCCTGAATTTTAAATGTTCATACTAAATCTAACGGTGCATAAGAATGATTATTTCAGTTAAGTGGTTACTGTGTAATTTAATTATTTTAACCTATTACAGCTACTAACTTGTATGACATCTTCAAAATGAAATAAATTAATTGATATTATTATTGATTTTAATATATTTATGAAGAATTCTAATAGGCTTTATAAGTACTTGAATTTGGAAATGTATTTGAAATATACTTGATCAACATATGATAATTGTTTCAAACCAAGCAAAATAAATTGAAAGTTAGGTCAATTATGTCTTAGGTTGGTGATACGACAAGTATTACTTGTAACTTAATTTGTAAAAATCTTAGATTTGTACTCTAAACAAAGCTTTATTTTATTTTTGTGTAATAGAAAGTTGTGAAACTTAATGTGAATCCTTAATATACATATATTACAAGTAATAAAAAAACATTTTGTAAGTGTAAAATGATGTAGGAATGGCAGTTTCAAAAAAAATGCATGCAAGAATATAGGGATAATACAATTATACATAGATCATCCCTACATGACTTTCAATATTATGTTTTCATGTTACACTGTAAAATGCATACTTGACTTTCATATTACTGCAGTTGGAAGTTATATGTTCCTGACTGTTGCTATCAGTTTCTTTATCATAATATCATGGTCATGCCAGAATAGTGCCTTGGACTAAGTTGGGTCAAAATATGTCTTTTACAGCCTCTCGCTATTAGGTCAGTCAAATTGACAGACCTTGTAACAATTTTGTACTAATGCATTTTATAGTGTATCATTAAATTTTATTATTGAAATTTGGATAGGGATGATTATTGTGTATAGCTGCACCATCCCTACATCATTTAACATTTACAAAATGTTTTTATTACTTGTTTTGTATTCTATGAATGTGTGTAATAAAATTTGATATTATATGTATTGATTTATTTTTACACCTTCAATGCATACATGATATAGGGTTGGCTCCCTAAAGACACTGATTGTATAGTGTACGAAGCATTGAGTATTCTACATGTTACGGTAATCTAATGCTCATCTATTATTGACTGGTAATTCTTGTTTCACCCTGTACTTAAGTTTTTTAAAGGAATGTCATTTTTCTGTAAGAAAGCTGACTTCAAGGGGTAATGATAGCATTGTTTACACTAGAATTATGATTTTATTAAATTACTGCTAGTTATTACAACTAATGTATGATATTATGTACTGCCCAGAAACACACAGAGTGGATTTAGGTGTAAACTGACATTAGTAATAAAATAGTTAGTTATCACAATTAAAATAAGAAGAAAAGAGATGGTGGGTAGGTCACTTTCTGGTTTGGTATCTTAACAATGGTTTCTTGCCTTGGTTGATAGAGAAACAAATGAAAGTGAGTGACAATCATATTTTACAGTAAAACCTTAGCATGAATATTTGTATTATGCGTATTGAATACCTTGGCCATCCCTACATATAGAGTCTGCTGACTCTATGAAAATATTTGAGATATATTAGGAAAATCTTGGAATTTTTGTCTGCTTTAAGATACAATTGGTTCCAGTGACAAGCAATTTATGAAAATAAGATTTGTTTGTAATAAATTCTTAATTGAACTTCTGAAGAATGTTTACAAATATTCTGTATCTTAGGTTAAACATCTGTTGAAGCATCAGTCCAATAGTTGAACCTACCATATGATTTGACAATATCTTTGTTTTTATCAGTCCAATAGTTGAACCTACCATCTGATTTGACAACATCTTTGTTTTAATCAGTCCAATAGTTGAACCTACCATATGATTTGACAACATCTTTGTTTTTATCAGTCCAATAGTTGAACCTACCATATGATTTGACAACATCTTTGTTTTTATCAGTCCAATAGTTGAACCTACCATATGTTTTGACAACAGTCTTTGTTTTTATCAGTCCAATAGTTGAACCTACCATATGATTTGACAACATCTTTGTTTTTATCAGTCCAATAGTTGAACCTACCATATGTTTTGACAAGTCTTTGTTTTTTTCAGAGGCTACCTTATTGTATTTATTAATTAGAAATGTGTCTGACCTGGCCATTTAGTTTATTGTGTGTGCATAAGAATTTGTTCAGGTAAATGAGTAACAAACTTAAGATATTGTACATTTACTTATTATCAAGATCCAGTGTTAGATGAAGTTTCATAAAAATATCAGTTTACATATTAGTATTGCCTAGACTTTACTATATTCAGATTTGTTTAATATTTTTTAGTAAGGGCTGGTGCTTATTCTGAGATATATAACTAGCCATTTCGATAGTATTGGAACTTCTAAATCTGACATGTTAGAAACTTAGAAATTATGGAATTTTTTCATCTATTTCTCTTGCTTATTTTAAGAAGTGAAACATTTAATTATCAAAATTGTAATTTTCAAGTAATATACTAATTCTGTGATGCTCTCAATTGTGTAAATTATATATTTTTCATTTTAGGAGTTTTTGTTGTAAACAATTGGTACATAATTGTCCTTTGAACATTTATCTAACATTACCCAAAACATTTCAAACAGTGGAGAAAAATTAATAAGAAACTGTTCTTAATATTCACTAATACTTCCATGATATTTGCAAGGAGAGAGAACTAGTGATAAATATTTGATCAAATATTCTTGCATGAAGTTGAAGTGATAAGAATTTATAGGGAAATGATTAGCATAAAAAAAGGTTTTCACCATGGATTACACATTTATTTATGGTATACAGATATAATTCCACAATACTAAAAGTCAATATGTTATTGTTGTAAATATATAAAAAAATTCAGTAATTCTTAAAACAATTAAAGGAAGTATTATAACAAAGTGTAAAACATAATTATTTTGCTTTTACAGTGCTTAGGGTGTATATAGACAAACGTATAAGCTTAGGAATTTTAAAGAAGAAACTTGAATCATGGGTTGGAGTTCATTCTGATTATTTTAAGGTAAGTATTTTAACAATTTCTAGGTATTTGAGGTATGTCAGCTTTGTATAGCAAGATAATATGTAGGAAATCATAAGTATGTTGTTGATATTTCACCGTTACTAGATTACTTACTCTTATCACTGTAGTTCAGACACCTAGCTTTCATTTGTTAGTTTTGGTATTGTTTTCAATTTGTTTATTGCCTTTTATCACAGAATTTATGTTTCATGTATTTTGAAATAAAGTAGTTAAGTATGATATGAAAGTAACATCCCCATAATAAGCTCATAAATCCATATGTTAAAAGTTCCACAAAAACTACTGGTTTATGGTGATTTATTTTACAAAAAACAAATAGTTTTGATCAAAAACTTTTAAATTATCTCACTTTCAGGTTACAATTGATTGAAAATGAGCATGCGACTCAAGATTTGGTCTTTTTTTTTCAAATATTTTGTTTGTAAAATATTATTAAATAGTAATTTAAAACTTATGCCTACAAAATACTAATTTTTATATTTATAGAGGTATTATACTATGTGCTATAAAAAAAAAGGGAATAGCATGTGAATGTGGAAACTTTGCTTCATTTGCAACTAAATGACTCTTAATTAGTGTGGTAGTGATTTATAAAGTAAAAAATGTAGATTATAGAAATGTTTGTTATTATTATTCAAAGTGTTTTCCAAATTATTGTGTGTATGTGTAAAAAATATTGTTTCAGATTTCTGCTATGCCCTTTATCCAATGTTTAGATTAATTGAAAGATGTACAGTTTGATCTTCAGATTTTGTATGTAATTATTAGATTTAAGATGTTAATATGTGTAATACCTTTTAATTGATAATTGTGTTTGAATGCAGTTTGTGTGTCTATGAGTATTTCTCCAAGATATTCCTTCCTTCAACATACACTGTGTGTATGTTGTGTTACAGAAAATTTTTTGTTTTGGTGTAAGGATGTGGTGCCATCTATGAATGTAGTTAATATTAACTTACGTCAAAGATAATAAATGCTCAATAACAGCAATGATAGGGGTTGGAGAGGGTTGTGAACACCCAATTGACCCTTTCACAATGGGATCAGTATAAAATACATGAGTTTGTTTACACATTAAGTATTTATACTATACCTTTTAATGCAGTATGTATATCTTCACAAAATTTGTACACAAACAATCAGAATTTTTAATGAAGTATTTTTGCAAAAGATTTGTTTGTGAAAATATCGAGTCTGTTTCATTACTAGTCCGAGTGCAAAGTGATTTTCATGTCACGATTAAAAAACTATTCTTTGTCCCAAAAATCTCAAATTATTATTTTCGTAATCTCTATAACCTCCTAAATGCATTTCAAATGTTCATTTTCAGTAAAACTATATTTTGTCTGTTATTTTCTCTACCCTAACTATATGGGATCTGTCAATTTGACTGACCTCGTAACCAACATAAAAAATTAGGAAATAAATACAAATTTTGCTTTTCTTCTTCTGCAGTGACTACAGATTATAACACAAAAACACAAATGTTTAGTCTAAATAGCTTAAATATCATAACAGTATACATTTATATATATTTATTATTTTTATTATATTGACCTTCCAGCCATGCCTGGCTAATATTACAGAAGTTGCAGTGACATAGGGAACATGCACTCATGTTACCGTATCCAAGAATATAAAACTGGCTTTTACAAAGTGACCTGTCTTAGCTGTGTTTTAGTGGACTAGTGGTTTGTAAAATACAGTCGCATTTCAATTATTATACATTATATATGTATATATATATATATTATTACTATTTACAAATAAGTTCTTAAACTTATTTTTCTTAAAACATAGAACAGTAAATATACAGTATACAGTAAGTATACCAAACTATTATATCTTCTTGTTACGAACTTTATACTCATTTGCTGCTTGCCTTAGATTGCTAAAGTCTTATCAAATTTTGCACGTGGAGGGTGTGAAAGAAAAATTTTTTAGGTTTTATATATACATTTTAAATAACCAAAAATCATAAATTACTACATCAGTACCATAGAATTCCACTATAATTTATCAAACTTAGTAACTAAGCTGTATTTGGGTCTAATACCAGCTTACCAGCTTGAAGTCTTGTATCGAAAAGAACTAGTTGACATCATAATACTTCAAAATGGCAGAGTAAGCCACTAGGGGACATTTTGAGCTTTCGATTGGTTATTCACTGATTTTCAATACAGTACTTCCCTCCTCTCACAAGATTAGCTATTCTTGTTAATTGCTGCCCTCTTTATGCGAACTTCTTTATTATGCATTCTAAAAGTCTTCTGCACCCTCCACCTATTCCAACGTGTGTCTCATGTAAATCATCTTGTGTCACCTATCTACTAATAGGAGCATAGTACACTCACGTGATGCATGTGACTCCCTCTATGTGCTTCTACTGAACTATCACTTCTCGTTTGGCAGAGCTTGCACTCTGACTTCTTTCTTTTTTTTGTCTGGTTTTGTGTTTGAGATCTTATTTTCTCGAAGTGGTTTAATTTAAAATACTTGTTTTTTGTGTGTGTTTTTTACATTATCTCAATTCACTTACCCTTATTCTAGTCACATTTCTTATTTACTTCAAATGCTTTTGTCAACTACATCACCATGAATTCCGAAGTTAATGTCACCACTTCGGGTGTCACACAGTCAACACGCGCTATACCACAGGCTTCAAGTGCTGGTGACCCAATGGGAGATTTGTCTACATTTAATTGCAGGGAGATTTAACATTGTATGGGTCAACCTTTATCTCCAGACATTGCCACTCTTCCTCCTGAACCTGTGGAACCTGGTTAGGTTCATGAGAACTTTGATCAACTGTTTCCACCTCCTGATTTTGCCATTCCTTTCCATACCCTCCCTGAGGATTTTGTTTGGTTGTCCACAGTGTTTTGGACTTTATTTCTCAGGTATGTAATGTTTTATCCCTTGCTCCTATATCTTATGACCCGCCTCCTTTATTATTGCATGAACATACTTCCTAACCCTATTTGGTGTTTCCCCCGTCACGTGACATTCAGGTTCATCCTGACCAATTTGCCTCTCAGTTGGGTGATGGGGTTAGTATGCCTCATCCCCTACAGGCTTTAGATCAGTCGGCACTCACATTTCATAGGACAGACCGTTCATATCTCGACCAACAGCTGTTGGTTTCGGTTTTACAAGTTTGGGGAACGGGCCACAAATCTCTCATTAGTTTCACTCATGCCCAATTTTCCCACATCCGTCTTACCCTCATGACCCTTTTGCGGTACCTTTCCACGATCCATCTCCTGTCTGAGGCTCTTCGTAGGGATCCTAAGGGGTTTTCTGGGGACACCCTCCTTACCTCCACATCGGCTCATTTATCATCCTTAGCACTGACTTTACACATGTGGTATCTTTGTTGTTGGGACCTTTTAGGTCATGATGCTGTTTTATCTCAAACCCGTATACCTGCTACTTATCTCCGGGATTTGTGCATGGCTCCATTTTTAAGATATTTTGTCTTTGATAAGGGTCCTGGAATCCTTTAAGTCTGGATGGCATCTGCCCTGAAACAATCCACCATTTCTCATCTAGTTTCCCGTTTATTTCAGTCAGAGCCAAGTGTGGTGCCTATTTCAGTTTCCCATCCTTCCCATCCCTTACATGTCCCTCCTTCCCACAGTGCCATGGCTCGCTGTTTTTCTTGACGACGCACAATACACCGCCAACAGTTTCGGTGACTACCTGATGAGAACTGGTCGTGTGGCCTTCATTCATCATCAGTGGTGTTCTCTCATCTCGGATATTTGGGTTATTCAGGTTTTGTCAGAAGGATTCAAAATTCCATTTCTTGCACCACCTCCCTTGTCCCAGGTACCTATTTCCTTACCTTTTCCTTGGGATCCAGTAACTTGCCAGCATCTATCAGAGGCAGTACAGGATCTCCTCACCCACCAGGCTATAGAACTTGTTCCATATCATTCACCAGGGTTTTACTTGCACTCTTTGTGTACTTACTACATCAATACCAATAGGTTTCAGATTCCTCGGGTTTTCGCCTTCCACCTGCAACTATATTCCAATCTTCAGTGCAACTCTGACACTGGGTAAGGCTTTATTAATCATTTATTTTATTTCAGGGGGCCCAATCTTCATACCTTCATTTCTTAGATCCTGCTCTGTAGCAAATGGTGCCTGACCAGGTATTCTTTAACTCTAAATCTGCACTGTACACCATGTTGAATAGCACTTTCTTTCCATGCCTCTACACACTCACCTTTGAGATGGGATGTTCCACAAGATCGCTTATAGGTGAATAACCTCACAATATTTGCTTCATAAATTGGCCTGTACAGGACTGTACCACCCATGGACTTCATGGATAAAGCATATGGGGATAACTGCCCATCCCTGCCTTGCCCTGATTGAATAAATCGGTATGGTCTGCTTTTCAAAATAGGATCACATGATCACTTATTGCACTGTCTAGGGTGTTGATGTTCCTCTGGGTTCTCCAACACATTCTCACCCTCCTTTCTTCTAGTGAAGTATGGGAGTCCTTACAACTTGTCAGTTCCAAGCTGCTGGTGTGGTTAACCATGGAGGCATCCTGCTGGATGGGTTTCACATAAGATGGCTATAACCATTCAGTTCAGAGTAGGGCGGTGGTGTTTTACCAGTGTAGATCACGTAATATCCTCTGATTTGTGATTAAACATACAATGGACTGAGACATCAAAATGCAGTTCAATCCTTTGATTGGGAGCCCTCTTCCTACCCTCACATGGATGTTGGTACCCTGTGGGTTGATTTTGAATTTCAAGTGAACCAATCAACATTAGTCCTCACACAGGTTTTGGGTTGTCAATCTTCCTCTCTTAATTCCTCCTTCTGTGTTATGGGTCACAGTTGAGTAATTCTTAATTCTCCCAGTTCTTGGGTTTGAGGTGAAGACAGTAGTGTCCTCAACCTACCCTTGCACAGATGTTGGTACCCTGCGAGGAGGTTTGGGATATAGTTTACTTAACCAAGTATGGTCTGCTGTGCCCTAGCCGCTCTACACCATGGGATATATCTTCATTTACCCACTTTCATATTGTGTAATTGAGTTACTATATCTTTCTCCTGTTAGGATCACTTTCTTACCAGTTTCTCTCTCACTAGGATTTGCTCCTTTAATTTTCTGCCCTGATTTTTACACATATCTCAACTGGGCAGACAGTATACTTGGACCAGAAGTGATGCAGATCCCCTCTCCAGATCTTCAAATCTGACTCTTTCTTATCCAGGGGTATCCTTCGGATGCTTTTGGGGGGTATATCTGTTCTTCTCATGCACTGGGCCCTCCTCCTCATCAATGTGGCATTCTAGCTAATCTTGTGAGTTATGATTTTCCTATACTGAAAATGTATTTCCGATGGGTACTTCCCTCTGCTCAGACTTCCCACCCTTCCTCCCCACTCACTTCCGGTGCTTCATTCATCTGCCAAACTTAGAAGTGATAGTTTGGTAGGGGTGCATAGTGGGAGTCACATGTGTCATCTGAATGTACTATGCTCCTATTGATGGATGATGACACATAATGATTTACATGACAGATACATTGGAATCATTTGACTCCAGTAGGGGTGTGTGGAAGGCTTATGGCATACATAATAAAAAAGTTTGCATATAGAGGGCAGCAATAAACAAGAATAGCTAATCTTCATTACCCTCCTATTTGCTGTAGTAGTTTATTCATACTATTGAGTAGATAGTGTTTTTGTCTTTACAGTTTTATGAAATGCTATATATATATAAGATCATTTCTGATTATTACCATAATTTTTATTCAAATGTGTTTGTATTCATGCTAAGAATTAGTATTTTGTTTAAACTTAAATTGAAAGTAAGTCTTTAGTAATGCTGATGTTCATATTGCTTTTGAGGTAACTGTTAAAAAGTTATGAAAATGCTTGCCTGCACTTTTTCTTTCAGTTGTACAGGGTTTATTCAAATAATCAAGAATATGAGTGCACAAGGCTAACAGAAAACCTGATGTCATATTCTGAAGATTCTAAAGTAAGTTCGTAAGAGACAGACTGTAATATTAGTTGTGTAGTAGCTTTGAAGTTAAAAAGGAATGAATATTTTATTTTTCAGATTAGATATGTTCTGTAATGATAAACAAATATTTTTGTAATCAGTATGTGTAATTGATGCATTTTTTGTTTTATTACACTAAACTGAAAATATATTTTAAATTGGGATAAAAGTATTATTATTTTAGGTAGTAAATCAAAGTTTGGAAATTATGTACCAGAATTTTTACAAATTGATTGCATGAGAGAGGTTGATGGCCAAAATGGGTGCTGATGCCATAAGAAAGTGACATTTAGGTGAACAGTCCAAGTGCTACTGCTCATAACAGTGGAAAGAGGGGATGATCCGTGCTCCCATTTATAGTTATTTTTTAAACCTGGCAATTTTAGGGGTCTTTGCTAGCTATGAAAAATGATTTATGCATTAAAATCATACATGTAAATAATTACCTTTTCTGGTATTTTTCCAGTTGACAGTAAAACTTGGTAGGGCACTTCAGAAGGGAGAATATAGGGTGAAAGTATACCAGTTACTTGTCAATGACAGTGAGGTAAAGGAACTATACACTTTATTGAATTTTTTGTTTTATAGTTTTAGTAAGGTGATTTTTGAACTTTTATTGCTTGTATTAATCATTAATATAAGCTACATGTTTAAATTCTACATTAATACTTTACATATTTTAATGACCTAATATCCTAACTAAAAATATACTATTAAATGTTTCAGAAGATTAAATACAATTATGAGATAAAGTATGAATGGGATTGTTAAAATACATTATTAAGTATGGTAGTACTAACTAGTAGGGATTGACAAGGTCACCAAATAATTCACTTGCCAAAAAAACCACCTTATTGAATTTCTAAGTGAAAAACCAACCATTCAAAGTATTGGTTATGATATATTATGCTCATATGCATCTAATTAGTGATGTGCATGAAAGGATTAATGAGATTCCCACTGTCCCTATCTACTATCTAGCGAAACCACAGCCAAGAGAATGGGCTTGGTATAACAATTGAATTTCAATTTTTGAAGTTGACATATTTTACAACTGCATCTCACACTGTTATAACTTAATCTTAAGTGATGAACTGAGCTATTGTTATGAATATTAGAAGTGGATGTTATGTAAGGAGTGTATAAGTAACTTTGAATAACACTGAAAAAGAGCTAATAATGTTGTTTACATATGGAATTAGAAATTGTTTTTCAGTGGCTTTAAAAAGTTAAGAATCATGAAATTTTGTCATGAATACACATTTTCATTTTTCTGCAGTCAACAATAAACCAGGTAAAAATTGAGTAAAATTAAAATTCATGTTTCAGTGATTTAATTTTGCTAGTAAATTAGCCCTTTTGCTGCATAGTTCAGATGTATCCAAATAAACATTTATACCCACTGACTGCAAAATTCGGATTTACCCCACAGCTACCAGAAAAAAAGGTTCCCATTACTGCAACGTGCAGGAATATCCCCCTTGAAACAATTGCCAAACCTGTGTACATGGTGCCATCTGTGTTCTACGCTGTGAAACATGGATGTTTATATGCCTTATTACAAAATTGCCAATTTTGCAGGAACACATATAGAATCTATATAAAGACAGCTTCTTAGTATCTTGAATATTGTTATCTAAATAATTTGTTTTATATTTTGTAATGATTTTGACCTCTTGTTGAGAATACTTTTCTTCTAATTTTCATCAATTGTTTGTTTAAATCATTATTTTTCACTATCCAATGCAGTTTTCAAGGAATATTAGTGTAAAATACAGCTTCTTTCAATACTGAAAAAATAATACAAAGGGTCAAATTCATACTTTTATTTTTTGGTGGATAATTGACACTTTTTGGGAATTAGCTTAAAAATTAATTGTGCAGTGAAAGGGTTAAAAGAAACTTTGCTTTTCCACTGTTATTGCAATCTGACTAATGAAGTGACCTTTTTATATGTAAACTTTGCAGTCCATTACTAATGGATTGAGAAATATTTTCAATCAAATAAAATATAGTAACATTAATGAACATCTTAAAAAAAAAAAAATCAAAAGATAAAAGTTTAAGTTCTGAGTAACCCTCCAGTTATTATACTATGTATCTAAACTTGCTCATATGAAACTAAAACAACATTTAAAAACCATGTCAGATACTTAAGTTTTATTCAGCCATGAAAAATTGTAGAAATACCTTTTTTATTAAAAAAGTGGGAACTCAACATTAACCCTGTGGATACCAGACTTGATTATTTTGACCGATCTTGTAACCACTATGTAACCATGAAATTATAATTGTTAATGTATTAACTGTATGTTCATGAAATCTGGCAAGCTTTTAGTAAACATTAAAAGTTTGTTACTCATAAAAAATCTAGTTTTTCAATAAGGTATTTTTACTAAAGATTTGTCTGTGAATTTGCATAGCCTTTACTGAATCAGTCTGAGTGAAAGGTGATTTTCGTGCTAAGTATAAAAAATATTTCTTTTCACCATACAGTTTTGATATTTCATTTGTATAACCTCCTGAATGAAAATTTTTTTGTATTTGTTAAAACTTTATACTTTATCTCTTATTTTCTCTACCCCAACTTTAACTAGTAAATTCATCAATGTACAGTAAAATAAAGTAAATAAAATTACTCATAAAAGAATCATCCACCAACATTGTTTTTAATGATCACCCATTAATATCCTACTAATGTGACAAATCTTTATAACCTTCTAGTACATAGCTTTTTTCCATTCAATACCCAGAATCTGAACCCACGTGGCACCCAATGATGTGAATGACCCAGATGTGTCGCTTGTAAATATGTAAACAATAATACTCAAATACATGGGTTTAAGTTTTCCTTTGACATACATCAGTCTTTCACCTGCAGTCTCAGTGCCTGATTTACTGTATTATATGCAAACAGTGTAAAAAATTATATATGGGACAAACATGCTGCCAACTAGGCAATAGAATCTGGGAATGTCTTAGTCACATAAGTAGATTGGATAAAGACCATCTCTTTGGATGCCACTTTAGTAGTTCAGAACATGACATCAATGAATTCTTTATAGTTGGATTTAACTATGTACCATCTGATACTTACTTGAAAATATAATTCATTAATAGGGGGACTGCATGGATTACATGAATGCCTTTCCTTTTTCTAATTTTACATCTTGATATGATCATGGAACTTATCACATTATTTGTAATTTTATCTATTATACTGTACTTTTATGTAGTTTTTTATAACATTATAGCATTGTTATAGTTTATTCTTTATTATAAGTGTTGTTTACAACATTACTGACCTGTATACTATTATTGAAACCATGTGATATTCTATGTGTGATTCGCATTATCTCTTTCAAATCTAATAGTATGTATTTAGGCCCGAAACATCACCTATAAATAAATTTGGTTGTTTTGGCAGTATATAATTCCTTTACATTTTTTATGCCTTTAATTGCCAAAACTGTTATTTTCTATTTATGCCCAAATGAATCTGGTAATGTTCTAATTTTTCCACTCATTTATGCCTTAGATGATATAACAGAACCAGAAAAGGAATAGAGGAATGTGTAATAACCATCTGGAATAGATTAAAACTGTATTCTGCAAACAAAATAAATATAATTCAGTGCTATTAAATGCATGTGATTATACATGTTTCCCTAAATTATTTATGCAAAATTTACAGAGTATGCAACTTATGACATTTGAAGTGCATGAATGCACAGGTTGTTGTGTATTTGTTTCTCACACAGTTTGTTTTCGTGCCTTTCAGGCTATATTTTAGTGGTCATTATATAGTGGTGGGATTTCAGTTTCTTTGGAATAAAATATTTTTATAATACACAGTGAAAACATCTAAAATACAAAGAAGTTGCATTTGATTACCAAACACCATTTTCATTTTTTTCTTCTTTAGTTTTCACTATTCGTACTGGAAGTTCATAATGCACATTCTTAGAATTAATGAGAAAAAAACAACAAGGATTTAGTTTACTCCATTTAACTTGTATATATGTGGGATCAGCTATTAATTTTTAGAAATGAGCTGTGTAGTTTTCTACATTTGTATTTTGTACTTGTTGCCATTTTATGTATTTGATGATAACTTATTGTGGCAAGCTTTTAGTGTAATACTGTGCAATAAAGTATGGTTCATTAATGTACCAACTAGCAATAGTTTTTTTTTAATTATTTTTTACTGAAGTACTAACTACTTGCTCTAATTATAACTATGTACTCATGTTTATAGCCAGCTAAGTTCCTCATAGATTGGGTGTTTTCACGTGGAATGACAGTGTTACAAGCCAAAAAAGAAATTCTCCCAGAAATCAGAGAGAAATGTGGTTTGGATATTCCTTTGAATAGGTAAATATTTATATTGCTCTATGTAATTCCTTCTTAACATTTTTGTTAGTACTGTGTACTTAAAATCTCATGTATTTTTTTTTTCTTTCCAATTTGTTTAGCTAACATTATTCAGGCAAAATTCCTATTATGCATTAAATTTATATGGAACTGTCATTTTCAGTACATTTATTGTAATATCAAAGACTTGTTTCTGTTATTCTATGAATTTTGGGAAGACCATTATTCTAAATATCATAAAATAATAATACCAAGGTAACTGATGAAGGTGATTGGGTTATGAAACAGTTGCTTTGGCCTTTTTCTTTTTTCTACTTGTTCACATTTAAGGGGTTATGTTAAAGTTGCAGCATGTAATTCACAGTATAATTTTAACTTTGTTTTTTTTACATACTTCCCCATTTATTTTTAAATGCTAACACTTATAAGATTACAAACTAATTCATTTTCTGTATTTATGTATACATAGAGAAATAAAACAAATTTAAGATATCATTTCATTGTATTGAATAACCAGTTAGATGAATTGTTCCTTTTTTTCCTGCACTTTTACTTCACATATGCAGCATGTAGTTTCTTTGATTTTCTTCTTGGGTTGGGCATTCCCTAGTGTTTAGTATGCCAGATTGCTAATCAGATTGTTCATGGTTTATGTCCCATTACAGCAAAATGGTTATTCACATTTTGGGGTTGTGGGTGCATTATAAAAGTGACAGTCACATCTCACTATTCCATTACAGGCTATCCACATTTTGGGGCTGTGGGTGCATTATAAAAGTGACAGTCATGTCTCACTATTCCATTAGAGGCTATCCACATTTTGGGGCTATGGGTGCATTATAAAAGTGACAGTCACGTATCACTATTCCATTAGAGGCTATCCACATTTTGGGGCTATGGGTGCATTATAAAAGTGACAGTCACGTCTCGCTATTCCATTAGAGGCTATCCACATTTGGGGCTGTGGGTGCATTATAAAAGTGACAGTCATGTCTCACTATTCCATTAGAGTAACCTAAGGTTTGGCAGTGGATGCTGTTCCAGGGATGTGTAGTGAAGATAGCCCTTGTGTAACTTTGCACGAATATCTCAAACAAATTATTTTTCTGGTTTATTTTACAAAATTTATGTTCGTAAGGTACAGAGGAGACTTTGTTCAAATTGTTAACCAATTTTTACATTTTTGCACAACATTTAATTAATATTATGTATATTTTATTCTAATAAACTTTATCAAAAATCTGTAAGTAGCATTGAAGCCATCTATTTATACAGTGCATTTTATATTTTTTCAATAATAATAATAAGTTAAAAAATATTTAAAATTATCTTCGTAATTGAAATATAAAATTACCTTTATTGAAATGCACCCTTATTAATATGCATAACTTAATGTTGACTGTGTAAATGTTATTGCATTTAAAAAACATAATATTAACAGTCCTTTAATATACTTGTATACAGAAGATGTGAAAAAAGTCTGATGGTTGGTATCGTAGAACTAATTCAGAATTATAACTACTTAATTCATGTATAGAATTGATATAACAATATCATTTTGATTATATGTATACATTTAGAGTGTAATGGCAGATGTTAGTGATGTTACACTAAAAATAATCATTCCATATCCCATGCTATAATGTTTTTAATAAAATCCTAATTTAAGGGTGATTTATTAAGATTATTGGTAATCCATGGTTGTGTTTTGTGTTTATCTATTTTACAGTGTAATTATGTTTCTTTATAAGTGTAACATTTATCTCCAGGAAGTTATTGATATTGAATTATTTTCATATAAATACAGTTTTCTTTTAACAGAAGTAAGTTATCATTTGTCTTCCTTGATAGTAAGATAATTTAATTTCTCCAGTCTACAGCAAGAAATTTAAAATTTTTGAGTACATTTTTCTACTTAGGTGTCGACTGAGAAAGAAATGTTGGAAGAACCCAGGGACAATTTATCTGGATAATGAAAGATTTGAAACTGATATTCCTCTTTTTGCCAACTGGGAAGTCTTCATAGAAATTTTAACAGGTCAGTGTAGTTTGTTGACTGTTATATGTCATATTTGTTTTGTTAAGGCAAATTAAGTAACATATAGCAAAAAAAGATATTAGGGTTAGTTGTTAAAGTTGTTTTACTCTTATCCAAAGCAAAATTTTAATAGAATATAACTGTAAAAAAATTTCTGAATTTGAACATTTCAGTTACTTTTATTTTATAATGATGCTTAGGATCATATAGTAGGAATGTGAAGTAGGTATTTATGGATATTATGCAAAATCAGTTTATGCATATGAAGAATTAGTGCTTTATGCTTGCTACTTAACATTTGTGTTACAGTTGTCTAATGTGATATTTATATATTTCACATAAAGTGATTACTTTATTCAATATGTACTTATTAATCTTAATTTTGTATTTTTGTTGTTTCATTCTATAAGTTTGTAGAAAACTTAAAATTAATCTATTTTATGTAATTACAAGATCTTTATAGTTAACAAACATTTAAATTACAGAAATTATACTTTACAGAATGAGGTAGTGTATGAAAATGTTTTAAGGTCAGTGAATAATTTATTGAGGAAGTTATTCATAATAAGGATAATTGAAAGACTTGTTGTAAGAAAGTGTACATGTAGTGCAACAATTTATCACAAGCATTTCAGTAAAGCACCTTAGGCTTGTGATGTACATTTCTGGAATTGAATTATATGCATTTTTTTTATTATTTCAAAGCAAATCTAGTAATTTTTTCCCATCTCTTGGAAAATGTACAAGTGTAGATAATATTATTCATTGGAGTAAATTGTTTTGTTTTGAAGGAGTAGGTAATATTTAGTTGTAAAAGTGAGAAAACATATATGAAATTGCAGAAGCTGAAAAGTTCACTTCAAAATCTCAAGTAGCAACTTTTACACGCTGGTGGCATCCATCCACGTACCAGCTTGATCCTTTTATAGAAGTAGTGTTGAATGTTCTAAGTGTTGAAGAGCTCAGGGAAAAGGTGAGTTAAAATAAAATATATCTGTACCATACCTTAATTTTTTCTCTGAAAAACGTTTTTCTCATAGTTTTTACGTGTATTAATATAGTATGTTTAAACAAAAATTCTCTAATTAGTAGTTCAAAACCTGATTATCAAGTCAAAGAGTCATAGTCTTTTGTGATCAGAGGCATAAGGTGACTACATAAGTTGATGGTGCACCAAAAAATTAGCTGCATCCATGATGGTACAAAATAAACAGGGTTCTATGGGTCATACTAGAGGCTTTTCAGGTGCTCTGAAGTTCTTCATTTAAAGGATGTTCAAATGAAATTGATATTTGTACCTCAGTGTGCTTCTAAATTGTTCAAGAAAATACTAAAAGGCTATACTTTTGGTTAGAAATTTAAAATCAGTGTGTTCATACATGATGTTAGGAAAACATGTAGCTTCTGAAAATCAAAGTCGGAAATACAAAGCCCTATAACCAGAGCATTTTTGAAAGGTGAGCCTTTCTTCAAATAAAAACCTAAAGAATTACTCACTAACATCTAGTTTGTTAAATGTATTTATTGAAATAGTAAGGGAAAGCAAAATTGATCTGGCATGTTAATGGCCAACCTAGCCTTCAGTGTTCAGAATTTCAACCAAATTAAACAGCTGTAAATATGAAATTGTAGAAATCAAAAGTTAGAAAATGTAGCTATTATGAAACACTTCATTTAACTGTACATGAATGTCTATTGGTGGAACATCCATACTTTCATCAAATCACCAACATAATTGTCAATATGTTGTTGTGTAATTTTAAAGTTCTTGTTGCTTCTCTATAAAGTGTGTCTCTATATTGTGATATATATATATATATATATTTATTTATTTAACATTCCTTTTCTGATTCTTTATTTGAAAAGGGGCATATTCTATGTCATTAGATCTGATATTTAGTTGTGTTCTATATTTTTACAGGTTAACATTTTTATTTTATTCAGTTAAATATAATGTTTTGTGACTTAATCATGAGTAATGGACAAATAATAGTTTCTCTGACCACTCTGCCCTACATCATCACTTTGGTGCCCTTGCTACTAGTGGTGTTTTGTTATAGGTGTGATTTTGTGAAGTGTCTTCTATATCAAGCTTTATAGTCTTTTATTATTGAACATATCAGATAAATTCCTGTATATATTTTTATGATTTTTAGCTGTCACAGATCAGTGGGATTCCTCAGGAATTTATTGAAATTGCAAAGGTAATTTTTTTCTGACAATACTGTTTCTAATTTTTAAAAGGTTCAAGTTGTTTAAATAAAACTTGAATTTGTTCTGTATTTTCTCATGAATAAAATATAAAGTTCATCCAAAACAATATGAAAAATTGTCAGTAAATGTAAAATAGAATTTTTACAACTGTGTGTAATAAGAAGTGAATATATAAGCTATTTTGAAACAATATGCAAGTTCTACTGAAAATGTAAGTGTGTATTTATTACAAGTTTCTCAAGTACAAACATAATTTTATCTGAAATCTGTATATAGGGATGATATCACAACAATGAGTATGTGAAACAGTTCAAAAACTTAATGAGGCTTATGAAAAAATCATTTTCACAAGTTAAAATCATTAGTAATAAATATTTTTGTTAATGTAATTTATTATGGTAATATACAGTGTTTTACATATACATAACATTCTCAGGTTACCTTTGACACCAGTAGTTTCAGTAGTATAGGATAGTTTGTAAGTTGACAGTAAATGTGTATTCTAATCATGGAGGAAACATTAGATTCGAACTTTTGTTTGAAATCATTAATGTGAGATTTCTAATTTCAGGGACAAGGAACATTTCCTTGTGATGTCTCTCTCCTGTCCATACATAATGATCTAGACTGGCACTTCCAGATTCTTTCATTAAACATGTGGCCTTTGTATATGAGTGACGATGGACATGTTATTTTTTACAGGTAATGTACCTGATTTATTATCTTTACAGTTCTGAAAGGTTGTTTAAGATTTTGTTTCTCTTTGATCTCTGAATGTGTGTCTATATACATGAATTACTGTAATAGAAGATATTTACTTACCTTTCTGACCTATGTTACAATGTAGCTTGTATCTGTTCATAAGGAAACTTTTCTAACTTTCTACTGATCAGCATGAAACTTTCATGCACTCTTGGGAGTCCCCCGATCGTGATTTAAAATGTCATACTTTGTTCATTTTTAAGAATTTGACAGTATTTCAATTTCTATGTGCTACTACTTTGCAGTTATTTTTTGACCTCTAATCACAATAAGGGGTGGGCTTGACCTAATGGTTAGCATGCCTAACTATGAATCCAAGCATTAAGTTAGGGTTCAGCACTTTATTAATTTTCTTATTTTTATGAGTTTTGTGACCATTTCAATTTCCATTTGCTACTGTCTTAGTATCTGTTTTTGAAAATGAGCAGTTATTCTATCAAGAAAATGAAAGTATTTCATAGTACAAGAAAATATTGCAAAATATAATATGTCAATGTGCAATATACCTATTAGAAATAATATTTACTAATAGATGAAACTGATTTTCATAGAGTTTTCAAAGCCAATAAAATATACGTTGTGTATAGTGAAGGTACCTTTGCTAGTTTTTGTTGAACCCACTTGTTATGCTGGAAAGACCCTTGGTAAGGATTCCATGAAGTGAAAGTTAAAGGTTTATATTTCTCTAGATTAATGGGTTAATCACTATTTGATCTCCACAAGCTTAGTATTATCTTCTAAAATGAATATAAATTGGAGATTTTGGCCTTTTTATATAAAAATTACTGTAATTTTTATGTAGAATTTACCAAGAAGCTTTAGAAAAGCACCATATATGAACCTCTTACCCTCCTGGATGTGTCCACAAGGTTTTACTAGATAAAACAAAACATCATGTATTGGTGGTCATAGTATGATTTTTAAAGTCACAGCATAAATGATTGAAAATACCTTTAAAATTGTTGTTTACCAATGCTGTATATTTACTATTTCAACTCTGAAACTTGTGCACAACTCAGATTTTAACATTTGAATTTTTTTATGTTGCAAAGCTACATGTTTATGAAATTTTATCATTATAAAATATTTTTTTTACAATAAACCACACACTATATTTTGAACAGAATGTGAAAAAAAACTATTGCTAAACACCTACTGGAGAAAGTATTTTATTGTTGTTTCTGGAAAAATACATTCTGTTTGGAAAACGTTCTTAGCTACTTAGTATTTCCTAACCATGATAGCAGTTTTGAGATAAAATTCATTATACATCTCTGCTCTAAAGAATTTTTTCCCCACATTAAAATTAAGGGAAATATGTATAAAAATTTCTGTATTTCAGGTGCAATTTAGTTAATTTGTATTTAGTTTAAAGTTGCAGAGTTACCAAACAATTGAAAATAATGGCTAAATGTTAAACTAAAAAACCTTTAGAGTAAACTGATCTCTTAAAATGAAATTAAAAGGTTATCTAAAGTAACCCATATATTAAAAGTTTATTAACCAATAAAAGTTAAAACCAAACTTTGCTATTAAGTATGAATGAGCTGGCTATTGGTCTTAAAAGCAAAAAAGAACTTAAGAACAGTCCTAAGAATGTTTTTGTATAAATGCATGATTCTTGTTCAGAGATTTTTTTTTTTACAATTTGTTATTGAAAATAAAGTAAAAATTTTGGTTTTGCTTGTCCGAAATTTTATACGTGTACTTCTTTGTCTTTTTTTTTTAAGAAGATTATCATTTAAACCTGACTATGCAAAGAAAACTGTCAGAGAATATGCTTTCTGTCATCTTTAATCAGCATATTAAGCCCATTCTTAAATAAAGCTACCAGAAGAATCCTTTTAAGTATCCTGAATTTTGAATGCAGGGTAAATGTGATGCTAGTTTGTGAGAAATGTGATTTAAGCATGCAGTGTAATATAGGTTCCAAAACATCCCTTAACATGTCTGAAAGCTTCCTTCTATAATTTGGTTCTAGAACAAATATATTTTGAGATATAATCAGTTTAATTTTGAACCACTGTTAATCTGTACTTTGACTTGTTTTAAAAATCTGTCGAAACATTTCTCTTACCTCTAGCTACAGGGAATGTTATGGCAGTTGATATAAAAAATTTATGTTATCAAATATGTTGTTAATACTTGTGAATTCTTTGTGCAGAGACAGTCGAGAAGAACTCAAGAAGTTGTCAGAGGAAGAAAAGAGAGAAATTTCTAATAGGGAAAGTGCAAGGTAACATTACCATTTACTGTATAGAATGTATGGAAAGCTGTACACTTGTATAATATAAAATACACATTATTTTAAATTATTATTTTCTAAAAGGTTTTTACAAGATACGGTTTTATAAAAAATGCTTATAAAACTAAATTATCAGTCAACAATTGTTAACTGGTTATGAGAGCAATAAATGATCTATTGTCCAAAATCACCAGTCAGTAATTGTTTTATTCTACCCCCACCCAGTTTCTGTTTTCAGTTTTACTGAAGTCTGATTAATTAGCACTATCACGTAGTATATTTAGCCTGCTTCCCCAGACCTACATGTCAACCTTAAAGTTTAAGAACATTGAAGATTCTGATCTCACGTGCAGAATCATGAATAAATCAGCAAGAAATTGATTTTCAAAGTATAACAGTCCATCGTCGTGTGATCATACCGACAAATGTATAATGTTCACACCTGTCTAACTAACTTTAACACAAAAGTTGCTTAGAATGCTGTTTAGTTTTTCAACATTAGTAAATTAGGCCTAAATGAAGTGGCATGTTTTCACTTTGTTACAAAAAATTGTCATCTGCAAAGTTCTGCTATGAAGTAGCACATACGTGGCAATAGCCTTGACAGTTAGGCAACATTGATGTAATTTGTTTCTCAGTGTTTTTTAACTATATTATTCTTTTACAAAAAGAGTTGAAATTTGAATTTAAAAACTTCTTTGGCTTTTGTATGTTTTGTAAATCTACTATTGATGTATTTTAGAGATCTTTTTGTGTTAAATATAAATTCTTTCCATCCACAGAAAGCCTTTCAAATATTTTGGTGTGTAATATCTTTGTTATAAATTTGTTGATGAAAGTTATAGCTTCAAATATAAACTACTTTATTGACAACTTTTAAGACAGATTTCTTCCTCAGGTGTATGCTGAAGTACAGCAGAAAACAAATGTAGTGAATATAAGTAGCTTTGACAGCATTTCTTTAGCATACACACTTATTTCTCTTTTAGATTAAACAAGTTCAGTAAAATTGGTTACTCTCCTCGAAAAGAAAGAGCACTGAAGATTTATACAGACTGTAGCCCTTCAACAAGCAATATTAGCAGTAGTTCAAAAACAGTAGTACCTGAGCTAGACTGAAAAGATGAAACTATAGGGTAAGCATTTTTGTTACATGAATGTACTGTTTCTTGTGTCCTTTTATATCAACACAATTGTTAAATCATATTGTGAAGTCTAATATCTCCTCTATATGTAAAACAACAAAATATTCAATTTTGATTATGTTATGCAGTGAAAACACTTTGAGGAAGACTGTAGTATTAGATACTGTTAAATGATATTTAATAATCCTTTTATTTCAGAATTATCAAAGCAGTTTAAAACATTTTAAAAGGATGTAATTCTAAAGCATTTTTATGAATTATGCTGCATGCTTAACAAAAAACAAAACTTGTTGATCAGTAATGGTAAGCAGTCTTAATATGTCAGTTAGATGATTTTGATAACATATGAATGAAAATGATTCAGTGCAAAATTGTGTATTGTAATCAGTTCAGGTCACTCTGAGTGAGTACTTGAAAATCATCTTTTGAAGTTTAATTTAAAAAGATATAATTATTATATCTTCACAAATTTTACACAAAAATATTGCATTATTTATATTCTAGTATTGTATAATGCTTGTATAGTTGATTTCCTAAATAAGAATTTTAAAAATCTTCAGTCATTCATCTGTTTAATATCTCTGATTGGTTGAACCATAAACATCACATTCTATATTTTGTGTGACTTTATTGTAATGTCTCCTAACCTTACATTTATTGGCTGATGTAACACTTATTGTAATACCTAGAGGAGTCTTGAGAACTTTTACTGGTTCTTAGCATTCAAAGGCATACAGCCTAAAGCTAGTAATAATGAAAGAAGAGGAAACATTACACTTTAATGTTAATCTATATTCCAAGTTAGTTACATTTATGAAAATGTTGAGGTTGGATGTGGTCAAGGTGACAAAGTTTGAACTACTTCTAAATTACCTAGTCTTGAATTTTTTATAGTTTTTGACAATGCTCTTTTTATTCCTGATACTATTCTTGTGTTATGTTATGTCAGTTCAAAAAGTTACAAGAACATCCTTATATGACAAGGTATCAGGTTACTGTATTGAAAAACAGCAATTTATATGCTGAACTGACTTGGTTGAATCTGCAGTTTATAAATGAGTAAGCTCTCTTTTACATATAGGCTTTGTTTAAAATTTTACCTTAATGAAAATTTTCATTTAAACATTATAACTAAGTCTGGTAAAAATGATGGTTTTATTATTGTGACTAAAGTGGATAACATCACGAATAACTTAACTAAATGTATCAAGCTAGATCAAGATCTTTCTAATAGCAGAGAAACCAAATTTAATTACAAACAAAAGTATTTATTGAATTTAATGAAAGTTAATTTATCGAATTGGACACAATATTAAACAATATTAGTCCACCAGGAAGTGTTGTCCAGAGATTTTTATGGACTTCCTAAAGTGTATAGAGAGGAATCAATTAAGTTCATACAATTTACAATTTTGGAACTTATAATCATGCATAAGCAGCTTTAAAGTTTGATAGTAAGGAGAAATGAGAATTAACCACCAATGGGAAGGTTTCTATCATTTTTATTGTCTAATCAAATCCAGTGTTAAAAAAATATTGGAAGTATGCTGGGGCTACAGACAAAATACTAGTACTAGTAAGCTCAATCTGGTATTGACTTGTATTAAATTGCATATTTTAACCCTACCAAGACTTACATTCACAATTTTTTATTGAACTACTGTTTTATGAATGTATATTAATAAGTTTGGTATCAAATTGTAGATTATAATTCAAATTTTAATATTATACATTAGTTAATTTCTTAATTTAAAAGTAAATATAAAAAAAATATTCTAACTATTTTTGTGTGTCACATGGTATGTTGAATGCAGCATTGGTTCAGTTTAGATGTTTATGATGTCCAAATACAAAAATATATAGTTCCTTACAAATGGGGAACTCAAATTATCGATATTGACAAGCTAGAATATAAAATAAGAACCTCGTATCTTTTCTATTTGCTGAGATATTGCTACATTTAGTGTATCAAACAGTGGCCCTGCCCACCTCTTTCCATTTTTGCTTCTGTCTGGTGAATAACCAATCGAAAGCTCAAAATGTTCCCCACATGGTTCTCTGAGCCTTTGCAAAGTATTTACATGGGAAACCCTTTATTTTCATGGTAGATTCCAAGTGGTAAGGTGAGACATTATTGAGCTCGAAAAATCATATTTTTTTAGACCCAATTACAGCTTCTCAACTGAATCTTATGAATTATAGTGGAATTCTGTGGTATTTATATAGTAATTTATGATTTTTTGTTATTTCAAAATGTATATATAAAACCTTAAAAAAATTATTTTGTTTTACATTCTTCATGTACAAAATTTGATAAGGCTTAACTTAAGTTCATAACTAGAAGAAATAATTGTTTGCTTTATTTCTTTATTTACTGTTCTATGTTTTAATAAAAGTAAGTAAGATCTTATTTGTAAATAATAATGTATATACATAGGTGACTATTTTACAAAATACTACTCCAACACAGCCAAGAAATGTCATTTTGTATAGGCTAGTTTTATATTGTTGGATACGGTAACATGAGTGCACGTGTACCGTGTCATTGCAACTTTTGTAATGTTCACAGACATATCTGAAAAGTCAGTATGATAAATGTATAATGTTATGAGACTAAACATTTGTGTTATAAATTTGTAGTCATTCTAGAAGGAAAAAAGCATAATTTATATTTGTTTTCTAATTTTTATGGTGGTTAAAGATATTTGATAGTACAAATAACAGATAAAATATAAAGTTTTTTCTTAACAAATGTTTGATAATTATTTGGAGGTTATAAAGATTTTGCACGTGAAATTTGAAAATTTTCTAATGCATAATCTTAAAATCAAAATCACTTCACATGTTGAATAGTCAATATTCAAAAATAAAAATATGTGAGTAAATAATTAATTAAAAAATATTAAAACTTAATTTAAAAATCTGATACTTTGTGCACGAATGCCTTGTAATGTTTCTGATAATCTTCAAAATTTCATGAAGATACATATACATTTTAAAAAGTTACAGTATAAATACTTTATGGTTACTTTTGGGAACACATTAGAAGGGTTAAAGCTGAAGGTATACAAACACCTTATAAATGCGTGAACTTCTTAAAGTGTAAAGGCAGATGATTGTAAAGGATCGGCATAAAGGTAGCCATTAAACATTTCACCATTCATCTTAATGGTATGCATTTTTGACCCATTTGTTTTTAAATACATAAAATAGGCTTTAATTTCATCAGACAATATTGTTAGTTGTGTAGTCATTTACATGTTGCCTAAATTGAACAGAAATAAACATGATACAATGATAGGTGAAGGGAGGTAGTAGTATATGACAAAGTACTTGAAGTTGTTTACAGTGCATTTTTTACAGTCAAAAAACATATTACATACTTATTAAATGTCACATATTCTAAAATTATTCTCAGACCCTTAAGTTGTCATTTTGCATAAATCCCTAAGAATCTGGTTACATATTACCATACATAATTTAAAGATACCATAAAGTACTGTAATCATTTTATGATATTCAAGTTTAATACATATATTGATAAGCTTAGTGTTAAAAAAATCTATAGAGAATGTTTTATTTAAGGTAAATATTTTATCATAGTAAGACATCTTTGTACTTAAATGTTAGTCAGGGGTTCTGTTCAGCAAAGTTCTTAAAATATATAGAAAAAATTACAATTAACTTTATACTGATTTAATGCATTATCTGCCATTACATTATCATACTTTTATTAGCTAAAATTTACTGAAAAAATGGTTGTCACAATACATATAAATTCAAGCATAGGCTTCAGTTTGCTTTACAATTTCAAGAAGAATTCTAGCATGTATGGTAGAGTTTCGTGCATGAGCATCAATAACATTTGATACCTGCCTTTTGAAACACTGAGTTTGGAGTGATTTTTAGTAACTTGCCATAGTAGAAACTAATTTATAGAAGTATTGCCTCAGTGTTTCACAAAATGGCCAGCTTGTATCTTAACTGGTCTGTAATTATAATCATTGGAAACTGGGTTAAAGTGTTAAAAGTCCTAAGTTTCTTATCATCCTAGCAGTAGATATTGTGAATATTTTGTGCACCCAAAATGGCCTAGACTGCTCCAGAGATCCTGGAGACCCTTCTAGCTTCTGGGTGTCTGGGCTGTCTCCAGATCCTTGACTTTTATGTTTCATTTGCTAATCTCATCCCTGATCTGTTGTGCTCCTTTTGATATTGAATCTTTTTATATTAATATCCATTTGGAATAAACAAGACATTTTTAAATACTGACTTATTAAAATGGATTTTGCATTACAAACTGTGTTTTTGAGGTTAAGTTAAGTTTGCAACTAAGGAAAACACATTTTGTGTTTAACAGTAATCCTTATGATCAGATTGATGGTGTATCTATGGGTTATAGATTAGCTCCTTCATTGACCAATCTTTTTCTCCATTTTCTTGAAAAACAATGGTTGGAGTAATATCCACAGTCTTTTTAAAATATGATTTTTAATAATTTTGATTATAGTAAGCACAACAGTATTCATTTCACAATAGAGCACTACCAAGATCAGAAATTAGCATTTTTGCCCCCCAGTGGCACAGCGGAATGTCTGCGGATTTACAACGCTAGAAACCGGGTTTCGATACCCGTGGTGGGCAGAGCACAGATAGCCCTTTGTGTAGCTTTGTGCTTAACTTCAAACAAACTAGTATTTTTAGTTACATTGGTTCATAGGTTTGATGGATAACTTTGAGTATGAAGTTTGTCATATAAACATTCACTAGTTTGTAGCTTAAGATCTTAATTCATCATTTTTATAAAATCTCAAGTGTTTGTGAATTTTTGCATTGAGTGTCATAACATAAAGATATTCTTGTGCAAGAGTGGTTTATCTATCTGTTTCATAGGTTGAATAGTTCATGATTATTTAAACAAATTGAGACTTTGTAAAATCACCAGTGTACAAAGCTCAAAAATGTTAAATTTTATGACATTACCATAGATTATAAGCATGCTTTTTATGTTAACAAAACAAAAAAACAGCTACATGTGTATCTCCTAATTTATAGATTATTCCTACATGTACAATTAAGATATGTTTTTAAACCAGGATATTGTCTGCAGTGTTCCTTAAAGATATAAAGATTAAATATCTGCACTGGAAACTTCAGAAGTATTTTATCAGTTTACATTGCGTATATCAGGAAGTGGCTACATACAAGTTTAAAAACATGCAAATTTAAGGTCATTAAATAGATCAAGCATCTTGGAGTATGCTTTAGTTGAATGTGACCTGGTCATGCATTCTGATTATTTTAAGATATTGGCTAAAATTAGTGATAAGTATAACTTTCATTTAAAAGAGAGCTTTCTCATTCATAGAGAGATTCAGCAACTTAACCAAGTCAATTCAGTGTAGAAATTGCTACTTGTGTTGCAAAATATGATGTAAGGATATTAAAATCTGCTGAATATAGTAAACTAAGGCTTTCAATGGCAGACTATTCAAACAACACACAAATACAATAACCTCCTGTTTATTGAAAACAAACCATAATTATTTGATATACATTTTACAATCAGAAGTATTGTTTGATAAATATCACCCTACCATGCTGAAAAAAAAAGATTATTTTGCAACAAAATATCATAATTTCACAGCTTAGAAAAAATTATACAAATAGCAAATGAATTTGTTTTAATTCCAAAGCAGTATAGTTATTCAGAAAGTTGACACCCAGTTTTATGCAATTTGATTCACTGTAAGATAGTGAAGAACCAATAATTTCGTAACATTTTAAAAACTTGTTACATGTAACCCTTAAATGATTTTAATTGTATTTATAACCCATCTTCTGCACTAGTGTACTCATGAAGATGTCAGGATGATCAGATAACTTCTAATAAAATAAAATATTGTGGAGGTAGAAAAAATCATAACATAAAATATAAGTAAAGACTATAAAACCTTTTAAATATATAACAATCTTGTCCTGTATTCATACTACTCTCAACATACAACAGACTTGGTGTTACTATTCACAACTTATAACAGACTTCTTTATTGTTAATAGTCTCAACTTGTGACATTTGTTCTGTCCCCCTTGTGTTTTATAGTTGTTGTCAACGTAAGACTGACTTGTTGTTGTCAACTTAAGACTGACTTGTTGTATTACTGATTTGAACTTATAACATTAGTCACGTATTGTTTTTAATCTGAAAATGTGACAGTCTTGTTCTTTATTATTACTGATCCAAACTTATGACATTAGTCCTTTATTGTTACTAATCTGAAGCTGTGACAGACTTCATTATTATTAATAATAATTTGAACTTATGTCATTAGTCCTTTATTGATACTAATCTGAAGTTGTGACAGACTTTGTTATTATTAATAATTTGAACTTATGACATTAGTCCTTTATTGTTACTAATCTGAAGCTATGGCGGACTTCATTATTATTAATAATTTGAACTTATGTCATTAGTCCTTTATTGATACTAATCTGAAGCTGTGACAGACTTCGTTATTATTAATAATTTGAACTTATGACATTAGTCCTTTATTGTTACTAATCTGAAGCTGTGGCAGACTTTGTTATCATTAATAATTTGAACTTGTGACATTAGTCCTTTATTGTTACTAATCTAAAGCTATGGCGGACTTCATTATTATTAATAATTTGAACTTATGACATTAGTCCTTTATTGTTATTAATCTAAAGCTGTGGCAGACTTCATTATTATTAATAATTTGAACTTATGACATTAGTCCTTTATTGTTATTAATCTAAAGCTGTGGCAGACTTTGTTATTATTAAATGTGCATCAGTCACTTTGAATAAGAAATATTTTAAGTAGAAAGAAGGTAAAAAAACATACATTTAGCTGCAAATTACAAACAGAAATACAAGATGACAATTTGGAGTTACAGATGGAGTAAATGGTGAGTAACCAGGAAGATAAATGTTTATTTTCAGCATTTCCTAAGTGCTAGTTTTATTTTATTTTTACATATTAAAATAGATAAATAAATGGAAGACATAGACTTTCTATAGTTTATTTGAATTAAACATTTATTATGTTGCAAATATACTGATGTTTAAAAGTTTTTAAAATAGGCTCATTTATTAAAACATTAAATACAGTTCTTAGTGATAAAAATGTACCCTTTACATTGGGAAAAAGTTCTGTATGGAGACTATAAACAAAATGTATTGTTCATTTATGCTTTTACTGTATTTTGTTTTTTGGATGTTACATTTTACATTTAATAGCTTTTCTATTGAAAACGTGTAGCATTGAGTCAAATATATTTTTGTTTTGCTCTTGACATTGTAATAAAAAGGTTTGTTTAGTCAAGCAGGTGTTTTGGTATGGCAGAAAATAGATCTTTCTGGGTATGATTTCACTTGCATTCTAAGACAAACTTGAATTAGATTAATAATTCTGTACTTCTATGCAAGTTTTTTAATGTATATTTTTTCCTTCATATACTTAACTGCATTTTTTTCATCAAGGTACTGAATATGTTTTAACAATTTTTATAATTTCAGCTGCAAACTAGGAGAGACTGTCTTAAACCATATCATCATCAACAATCAATTAATTTATTGACTTTACTTTTGTGTGATGAGACTGCAAGGTACAGCAAGTGTTGTTCTTGGGAACATGGAGAAGAGCAGTGATTGGTTGTTTTATGAATGCTCATTTCTTCATATGATTTTATCATGTGATTTTAGTAAGAATACTTTAGCAATATATGTTAAGTTTTGTGTATGCTTCATAAAGCTTTTATAAATTGAGTGAGAGAATTGTTTACTTGATCCCACTAACCACTTCATGTTAGAGTTTATGAATGAACAATAAAACTGTTTAAGCATGTTAAGTAGCATTTGTCTAACTTGAGTTTTGCCTGGAGCAAGCAGCATAATGTTAAGTAATTTTTCAAACTTTTAGAACCTAATACACACAACAACGATAGCACATCAACCATTATTTAGGTTCTTGGACTTTTGACAAAAATATTGAAAACCTATTAGAACTTTTGTACCTAAAGTCCATACCGTCCTTGTATTTTTCTAGTGTTAGTGTATATCTGAATGAGATGAAATTACCTGAAACTTCCATTTTTACAGAAATCAGATGAAAATATACTATGTTGGAACATGTTTCTCAATTTCTGAAAACTATAAGTAATTTTGTGTTCTTTAAAGTTTTGAAAAATATTGTACTTTAAGAGAAATTTAATTAGCTGCTTTGGTTTCAGCAGTATAATTTTCTTTGAAGGTTTTTATGAATGCATGAATAGGTTTCTGTGTGCCACCACATTATATATGTGTAATTATTGAAAGATTTCTCTATTAATAAATATGTATTGTAGTTGAATTATTTATTGTATCAAATGTCTCTGACTGCAATTATATATATAATTTACATTATATTTGGGTAGCTGGAAATTTGGTGGATTAGAGTTTCTACAGAATTCTGTAACTTCTAGTTTATAATCAAAACTATGTACAAACAGAAACTATATAGAGAAAGATACAAAAACTAGATAGTGCTAACTCTTGAAGATATATTATAGAGAACCATGACATAGTCCCTTATGCACACACAAGGAGTGGACTACAGTTACTTGCTGTATGGTACATTATAATGTCATGTGAAATAAAAAGTATGCCACTTGTCTTTTGACTGACTTACTAGACACTATTCTTACTGTACCAGTAATGGTGATGATTCAGATTTACATGTCACAAACCTTATTTTTCTAATTTATGCCATACATTGGACTCAATTTCATTTAATCTGAAAAAAATTTATAACATTTTTATATAAACGTACCAGTTACAAAAACAATGTCACTCATGATATTATCTGGATTATCTAATGCTTGTATATTACATGAGTGACATCAGTAATGCAAATAGTTTTAATAGCAATTTATACCTAATTTGTAGTGCTTACTGAGGACTTGGATGTTTTGGCAATAACGATAAAAAAAAAGACCTTTACTCTCTGGATAATAACGAAAAAAACATTTATTTCAGCCAATGTTTCATCAACGAGGCTTCATCGGGGCTAATAGTACAAGAACTAATAAGGCTACAATGTTAGCTGAAGTAAAAAAAAAATGTTGATTATTATTTGAAGAGTAAAACGTCATTTTTTTCATAATTACATTACCAAAATGACAGGTTTTATATTGGACAGTCTGGCTCTCTGATCTATCACATTCAAAGTTAATGATTTGTCAACAAACCAAATAATTTAAATTATGTGCAACTTCATTTTGCTTTCTTTTTAAAATACTTGGTACAAAAGGGATTAAATAGATACATAAAAGCTAGCTAGAAAAGTATAAGCATCTTTATCTTGAGGGTAACAGAATCAATAAAAATATATATAGATGAAATACAGTATTTTTACAGTAATTTAATTGGTTAACTTTTAGTACATAATGGTTATGCATTCATTATGTGTAGTTTAAACTTATGAAACTAGCTTTTCAGAAGACTTGGGAGAAGTAATATTTGTTTATCAAAAGATATATAAGATTATTCTTGTTGTTACTATTTCATAAAATTTTTTACCTTAACTATCAACACATGATATCTTCATAGTTGGTGTTCACTTGGAAATTTAAGAACTTTGGTGTTTGTGTATTAAACTAGTTTCCAGTTTTTCTAAACAACTGTTATGGAATTTCGTATAAAGTTACGTCTTGTTTACCACTATAGAGATATTTGTAATAATTTCTTGTGAATTACTTAATATTACTGCAGAGTTCTTAATTTGTTCCTATAGAACATTTTTGTAGAATTATTGGTTATCTACCAACATTGAATTTCTGTACAGATAAAGCTCAATAGAAAACAGTTAGCTGGTAATTTAATTGTATCAAAACTTTTTACTTACTTCTGTATCAACACTGTAAAACTGTGTTACCTGCTACATGGAACTAATACAAAGAAACCTAATTAACTGCTATAGTAAAGTTACTTTGTGATTAGGCACTACTTGAAACTACTATAAACTAATTTGTTAGCTACTACTTGGAGTTACAAAAAAGCTACGTTATTAGCTACTACTCGAAGCTATCATGTGCTACCTTGTTAACTGCTTTAACAACACTATGTGGTTACTTTCTACTAGGAGCTATTACAGATGTAGCTGCATAAATACAGCTACTGTAAAGCTGTGTGGTTAACTATTAATAATACAGTTAAGGTCAAGTAATGAATTGTAGTAGAGCTAATTGGTTGACTGCTGCTGTAGGATTACTGTAATACTTTTTACTTTGTTACTTATATTAATTATCTGCTTCTGTGGAGTTATAAAATTTATTATTTAAATTACTGATTAGCTGTTACAGCCACTTTAGAACTTATCTGCTTAGCAATTATTGTGGAGATCTAAATCTATTATTTTGTTGCTAACATAACATTGCTGCAACATGTCTTGTTTGATGCTTATTGCAATTTTTAAACTGTTGCTATCAGTCACTCAGTATCTGCCATCAATAAGGGTACTCATAAACTTACCGGATTATTTGCTATGTTCTAAAGCAGTTAGTGAACTGTTTACATAGTATTAATGTAACACAAATAGCTGTTTACATAGTATTACTGTAAAGTAATCAGTTAGCTGTTGACATAGTATTACTGTAAAGTAATCAGTTAGCTGGTTATATAGAATTACTGTCAAATAACTAATGATCCAGTTACATGGTGATAATAGAAATTTACAATTAATACAAAGTTACATAAACTGGCCAACTTTACCTTTTAATGTTAAGTAACTATTTTCACACAATCTATGAACTTATGTGACATTTCTGTGCGATGTCTCCGAAATAATATGATCACTTTAATTTAAAGTTTTCTTGATTAACAATGTAACATATTTCTAGTTGCTTTCAGAAATTATTTCAGTCTTCTGTTGGCGAGTCTTATCTCCTTTACCTTGTCCAGGTAAAACTCGTAATCTAGATTTTTGTGCATGGTTAAATGTAACTATTAACTAGTCTGAAATTAAATTACCAATAAAATCCTCCAATGTTAGCTTTTAGTCAGTTATGTATGATGATAAACGAGTATTTTCAGTCCATCCTTTAAGCTCTGTATCATGGTGAGAATCATTCACAGTTCCAGTAGAGTTGGTGATAAAAAAAAACTTAATAAAATGTTCAAAAATCATTATAAGTTGCCAGAAAGTATATTGAAAACAGTGTGAATATACGAACTTTGAGAACGTTGCTGTGTAAACCCTATTTACTGCTCAGTCATGTAGCCTGTTTGTTTGTATAACTCTAAAAGTCTGAATAAAGTGTTGATTGAAAATATAACTTTTTATTTTTTATGGTTACATATTACAGGAAATAAGACCGTCACTTTTGTTTTTTGGACATTTAACAATGCAAAAAATGATCTAGCACCATGCAAATGTTGAACATATAAGCCCTATAGCTGATTCAGTCATTTAGCAACACTGAATTTAGACACTTGTTTCAGTGTACTCAAGAAGTAAACATTCAATAATACACGTATTTTACTATTATAATGTTAAAAGAAGTTACGAGTTAACAGTACGTGGTAAAATGTTTATTTCCATTCGGCCATGTTGCATAATTAATTTTTATACACGTTCACATGAGATTGATAAACATTTAAAATTACATAGTCTTACATTTTGTCTTGCATGCTATTCGTTACAGGCTATTCGGGTGAGGGAAGTTTAGGTAACATAATACAAGATTATGCTACTTCTATAGTTATCATGGTATGGAGTCAGTGCAGAAGTGCTGCAATAAAGCTCTTGGGCCAGATAATATTTCCCCAAGGGTTTTGAAGGAGATTAAGGGTTGTATATGTAAGCCACTTGTTAATGTTTTTAGTAAGTCCTTGCATAGTGGGCAGGTGCCAAAGGATTGGAGGTTAACCAGAGTCACTTCTCTTTTCCAGGGAAGTAATAAAAAATTGTTACAGTAATTATAGGCCTATTAGTCTTGCCTCAGTTGTGGGAAACGTTTTGTAAAGTGATAAAAGATGCTTTGCAAAGTCATTTAACAAAAACATGGTTTCACTAAGGGAAAATGTTGCCTTACAAATCTTCTGACAATCTTTGAAAAGGTTACTGCTTATGTAAATGAGAGTAGGTAAGGGTGTAGATTTGGTGTATCTGGATTATTAGAAATCATTTGACAAGGTGCCACATAAAAGGTTTGTAAAAAAATTATATCTATAGGTGTGGGGAATAACTTAACTGATTGGATAGAAGAGTGGCTGGAGTTTTCTGTCACTCGGAACAATTTATATTATACAATTAACCTAACGATTATCTCGAAGAGTTTAACGGACTGAAATTTATTATACAGTGCTGAGAGTTAGGCTTCAACAGAATTTGTTTTTTTTTTTTTTTTTGGTATACATCATAGGAATAGGTTCGTATATGTAGTATGATCATTGAACCCTAAAAATAGGGCCTATGGTGTATTTGATATCGCTATGACCGGAATTCTGTACTCTATATCATATCCAACATCCTCTTTGGGAAAATTTGTTTATATGTACATTAGATAAACTAACTTTTTTAAAAGTTTTTCTAGCATTCACTGAAATACAAGACTGGTTTTCGACCTGACGAAATCATGTTTGTTTGTTTGTTTTGAATTTAGCGCAAAGCTACACGAGGACTATTTGCTAGCCTCCCTAATTTAGCAGTCTAAGACTAGAGGGAAGACAGCTAGTCATCATCACCCACCGCAAACTCTTTTACTAAGAATAGTGGGATTGACCATCACATTATAACGCTCCCGCGGCTGAAAGGGCGAGCATGTTTAGTGGAACTGAAATTGGAACCCGTGACCCACAAATTGCGAGTCGAGCGCCCTAACTACCGGGCCGATGATCAAATCATAAACTGTATTGAAATTGTAAAAATAGATTAATATTTTATTTGGAAAAAACTCTATTTTCAAAATAATTTCAAAGCAATAATGGTAGCGAAGCTGCAAAATTAAAGAATTATAGAAGGACTAAAAGTAGTGCGGGAGTATTTTTCGTTTTCATGACTCCGTAGGAATTCAGAAGGAGAATTTTCATAAATGAAAAGGGTAAGAGGGATGGTGGGGACGTTTTATAACATTTTTTTGTGGAAATAACACAAAGAGGCTCTTGTAAAGATTAGGAAGTTTCTTACATTCTTGTTGAGTCACCTAAAGTATTTAGTTACACATATATATGACCGGTAATATGTATGTGGTAATGCTTATACTTAGAGATGGAGAAAAATGGTAATACGAGATGAGTGGGTGGTGGTGGCAAAATTTGAGCTGCTGGAATAATTTTAAAATTCATAAGGTTATTTAGTAACATACTTAGAAG